AATAAATAATGAAATTACATTTATGCTTTTGATTTGTTGAGAAATAAGTCCTGTTGTTGCACGACTACAAATTTAGTGCCTCTCTTCCTGCCTTTACTGACTAAAAAGGCAACATTTTGAAATCAAATGTGACATCGCGTTTGATAAATTGCAGGACCAACGAACAGATCTGGTATTTGATTTTCAATCACTGCACAATAAATGTGAACAAAAGCTCATTTAAAATCACTTAATTAAAAAGGTACTTTTCCCTTTTTAAAATTATTTTAGGTACTGTCTCTAATGCCTAATCGGTACAACACTTCATATTCCTTTAACATACTTAAAACTTCTCTTCTGAATTAAATATTCTTGGGTTGGAAAATAAGTTTAGCTTTTGAACTACAAGTTTATGATGGTCAACCTGTCTCTGTTAAAGCACTACCATCTAATGCTATTGCGCAGTTAAAAAGTAAAATTGCGCATAAAAAATTAGTGGTTTTGTTCGGAATACTTTAGATGCATTTGTGTAACGAATTTTTCATAATGGAAAGAAATAACATGCCTTAGCAGTATATTTCAAACAAGGCAAACGCGATGTGGAGGACAAACAAAGCATGTGTACCAAAAGTAGTTTGCTAAATTTCAACATTAGTGAAGCACCCATCCAATTTAGGGTGATTTTTGTTTTGAAAAAAAAAAATCGATAAAAATCCATCACAAACTATGCGGGGAATTACTGAATTATTAAACGTTTCCCATACAAGTGACCTATGGGTGCTGCAAACTTTGAAGTCAATTTGGCTGTTCATATAATCGCTGCAAATATCTCATTTTTAAAGCGCATAATTACAGGAGAAGGAACGTTTTATTGCTCATTACTCCATGATAATGCTTAACCCTATGTATTGGGAGATTTTCGTCAACGACACGTTCACCGTACAGTCAGGACCAGTCGATATGCGATTTTCACATGGCCAGACTTTTGAAAGAGGCTTTGGACAGCATTTCACTATTGATGAAATATATGGATTCGCGCTCAACTGTCCGCATCCCTTGTTTTATTTTGACAGAATTAAAACATTTTTTAATCAAATGAATAAATTTAAAAAAACACTAGTTTTAGTGGTCCGCTTGACCAATTAATATCTTTCAATTAATTAAGGTTTTTAGTTGAGATAAAAAAATCAGTGTCACGAGCGGGATTCGAACCCACGATCTTCAGCTAGATGCGCTGCTGCTCTACCACTTCAGCTAACGTGACCTTGATCCACTCGGACACCAATCCACTCAGACGAGTTGAGATGGAAAGTTGGAGCGGTGTATCTAGCCGAAGGTCATAGGTTCGAATCCAGCTCGTGACACAGACTTTTTTATCTCAACTAAAAATGTTAATTAATTTTTAAAAACGTTGATGCTTTTCTATAATCTAATGGCCCTCATTAGCTAGTCAAACCAAGAACCAAGCCTACTTATTTAATATATATAAAAAAAAAACAAGTGAAAATATCATTTGTAGGCTTTAGAAAATATAATTCATTGTTTCACTATTTCGTGGTCCGCTTGACCAATTAATACAAGACAATCAATTAAGGTTTTTAGTTGAGATGAAAAAAAGGGAATGGCATGAGAGGGATTCGAACCCACGACCTTTGGCTAGATACACCGCTGCTCTACCACCTGAGCTATCGTGACCTCCATCCACTCGGACATCAACTACCCATCTCAACCCCACCTTATGAGTTTTCCCTCCTTTTGGGGGTTGAGATGGGGAGTTGATGTCCGAGTGGATGGAGGTCACGATAGCTCGGTGGTAGAGTAGCGGCATATCTACCCGAAGGTCGTGGGTTCGAATCCCTCTCGCGCCATTAGCGTTTTTTCATCTCAACTAAAAACCTTAATTAATAATTCATTGTATTGAGTCATAAAATAAGTCTGTAGTGTTTTTCAATAAATCTTTTTTACCCCCTTGTGTTTTGAAGCTATGTTTATATACTGTGTTTTTATTTGTCAATTTGAGATCTCGTAGTTTTATGAGGTGTTTATTAATTTAAAATAGAGGGAAAAACATTTTGTCGTTTTAATGGGTTTTTTTTCCACAAAAGGAAAATCCCAGATCAGACCGCTAGGAAAATTTATTAAGGTGATGACGTTTTAGGAGAAAGCACAGTCTGAGGCAGTAAGTTGGTTTGCTTGGGTCAGAAGAGAAAATTTTGATTTATAAGAGACCAAGCGCTTTGATCAATGTTGGGCCAAATTCTAACTTTTTGTCACAAATAACAAGTCATCACAATGGTACTTAACATATCTCATCTGATACAAGGGTTTCAGCAAACCTGAGAGCAGCTGTATATGTTTATCAGAGCAATATACAGATTCCTCGCATGTTGGCTGAGAAGAATTTATTTATTGAATCTAAAATGCAATGTAAATGACCAAATTTGAAAAACATTGATAAATGCGGATGAAAAATTGTCCTTTGTTTTTTCAGAGAGGAAAATCCTGGGGAAAATAGAGCAACTGTTGACAATTCCAAAAGACCAAGGGCTTCTTTTGTCCCATTTCTAGTGTATTTTACACAATTTTGAAACGAATAGTCAACAATTGACTAAAATTGATCAGGATCAGCAATTGGCTAATTGCAAGGGTATTATTTTCCACCAAAATAACACTCACCCAGCATTCTTTGAGCACCAGAAATTGCTGGAGCATTGCTGCTACCCCACCCCCCATATTTGCCTGATTTCGCCCTTTCAGGCTTTTCGGACAACTCTAAAAAAGGTAAAACTTTATTCCACTTGAAAAATGCATAAAACACACTGAGGATTCCATTGCTCAAAAACCTGATAAGTTCTGTGAAGATAGAATTACAAATTTACAAAGACGATGGCAACTATCAGTAAAAAAAACTGATCATTGTCGATTAAATTTGACAAAGTGTGTATTTATCAAAAAAAACTATACGGACTTATTTTACGATATTCCATAATATTGTGTAAAACTAGTAAATTAAAAAATGGCCTGGATTAACTTTTTGCCCCACACGTTTGAAGGTTAAAATAAACACATTAAATTTCTTGGTGATAAGGCATAACAATTTCACACAAAATAACATCCATCAACAATGATTTATATTTACATTTATTTGCAATACATTTTTTATATATATATATATTCATTTTTTTTCTCTTCTAAATACACTGGCTAGACAATAGTGGTTTTTCCCTCGTTTTTATATATATAATATAATACATAACCAAAGTGCAAATTTTCAACAGTCAAAACAGCATTTCCTCAACAAATTTGCCTCTTTTGACTTATAAAAATTATTTAATAAAATAACTAATAATAACAAAAAATAGTAGAGGCATTCACCTTTATTTATACGTTCCTATATATACATCAAGCTTCTTTTTTTTTTTTTTAAATAAATATCAAGATCTAAATTATTTAAAAAGAAAAAACTACAACAAAAGGAATATATATATACCACCAATAAAAGATATATTTTGAATTTAATTTTTTATTAAACATTTCACAAAATTTAGGCACTATTTCAACTATTTTTCAAAAACCTAAATAAATTTAATCTCTTTTTCTTCTTTTTTTTTCAATTTGAATGAACACTTTTATAAGTTATTATTATTTTTAGAGAGCAGATTATTTATTTATTATTATTTTTATTTTTTTTAGTACAACATTCAAATGGACAAAAATATATTTTGCTCTTACAAGGCATACACTGTTAATTAATGAATTAATCGTACAAATTAAATATATATATCCGCAATTAATCCTCGACAACTACACATTTATTAGATCTTTTATATTAATAATAATTCTTATATATATAATCTCTTTAATTATTGCAAATTTACATATTTTTGGTAATATACAAGAGAGTTACTATATATGTTTTGTTACTCCCCCTCCGCGATGAAAATTCAGTACCATTTTGTCCAAGCTATTAGCGAAAGAAAAAAAAAATACAATCCGACTGACCTATACTGCACCTATTTACTGAGATAAAATGAAAACATGGCACAATAAAAAAAATTATAATAAATAAAACTAACTACAACTTTTATAAGTCGGCATATACTTTGCTTTAAGCACACTTTCCATTTGTTTGCTCTAAAAACACAACCTCTAATTGATATATTTTCCGTTTTCTATATTTGACTAAACATTGTGCGACTTTTAGTGCTTAACTATTTTTTTTTTTTTTTTTTCAATCTTACTAAGTTTAATGATGTTTATCTTTTATATATATTTTTAAGAATAATTTTATATTTATATAGGTGAGTGCGTAATTTCATATCCAGAACAGTATAGGCCTATTAAATGGAAATCTAAAGTGGTTAAGCTGATGTTTTCATCTACGTTTTAATACTATTCTTTTTATTTTTACTTTATAGGAGCAAAATCTAACTGCACCTTATTTAATATCACATAAATAATAATAAAAAAAGATATATTTTTACTACTTTTAATTTTTATTTGCTTTAAGGAACAAAAAAAAAAAAATAATTGAAAAATATATTGTCCCGTTCTATATTATACATATTGATTTGGAAAATCTGTAGAATCAATTTTTCCCCCCTAAATAACCCCCGCCCCAAGAACGCGTAAATTGTGATTGAACATGTCGACAAGGAAGGACAGGTAAAAGCGCGAAAATGTTCACTATTCGTTACTTTTTTTGAGCAAAGGTCAAACGGCCTTGTCTGATCGTCAACGTTGTTAGTACATCTAACGGTGACCCGTATTACTTCTTTGATTCTAAAGATTTTTCAAGTTCCATCAAATTTTACCAATTTTTCTTCCGATTCTACGACAACGCAGCTTTAACATTTCACATCTTAATCGTTTAATAATTGAATATATTCTTTTATTTATAAATATCTTACAATTATCCTTTTACTTTTTCTTCTTCCAAATCTATCTAAGCCAGATAAACATATACAAATAAAGTTACAGTTTTATAATATGTATACTTGTTTATATAATAATACAACACCTTTTTTTTAATATGTAATGCTTTTGTGTTTGTTTTTTGCTTGTTTATTCAAATTACACTAGGAAAACTGACTCTTTAAATTCACATTGTTAGCCTGTTTTGTCAAAGGAATGTTTTTTTACTGAGAGGAAGACAAGCAAGTGGGGAGTTGTCTCTCGTGGAATGTGCATGATTTAAGGCCTTTTGAAAATGTACGACATTTGTTTACAATTAATTACAATACATACAATTTTCTTATTACTTACAAAGAGGGAGAGATAGAGAGAAAGAGAGAAAGGTGGCACATTATTTAACATTTGCTTCGAACGGGGAGAAATAGGCTTGGTTAGCTAAGGAGATCTACTTGAAGCGAGATGCGAAAGCGTTGGTTAGTTCATTGACGGCGGCCTGAGTGACCATTTTCCCGACTTCCTGTTGAACCCTCTGTGGTATCTGGATTTGTGGTCCGCCGCGCCTAAACCACATTCCAGAAATTAGCCCCCAATAAAAAACCGGCAGTTAATTATAACACCGCCGGTTTACAACAAATTTTACGACATTAAAACAATTTCAACTCAATAAAATTAAAATATTAATTACATTATTATTTACAAAAACAAAAAAGTTTAACAGGTTTTAAAAAATATTTTTGTTTTGCCTTCCAAGACACTTAGTAGAGGCCTCTTATTACGATAAAAAAATAATTTCATTCTAGAAACAAACACTTCAATTACAACAAAATTTTCTGTCTAATGTGAAAAAAAAGAAAACCGAAAGATAAACTGATTTTTTTTTTCTTTAACAACTTTTTCTAAAAAATTTAAAATACGCCATTTTATACAACAAATACAGATAAAAAGAGTGGATTAACCATGACGGGGAGAAGTGCAAATTTCGTTTGAGGTTCATACGCACAATGTTGCAAGCTGACACCCTAGCGACGCCTGAAAGAAAGCAAATCTTCCATGACACAAAAGGACAAACATTTGTAAGCTCAGGGGTGCAGTTATCCACAAGGGCAAAAATGAATTATGACTAATGCGGAAAATAGAAGTGGAAATTATAATAAAAACAAACAAATTAAAAAGATGAAAAATTAAAACAACATAAGACGAACACAGTCGATAGCCTGCATGGAAAATTTGATAATTAATTAAGAATAAAAAGGAAACTATAGTAGGTTTGTTTCAGCAGTTGCTCCTAACTGATCCCTGTTCATTAGTGAAAAATGTGAAACTGATGTTCCAATAGCAAACCATAACAGCTTGCTGTTCTAGCAGAACTATTAAAAATATCAATAATTAACTGCTTTTGTGGTCCGCTTGACCAATTAATACATGACAATTAATTAAGGTTTTTAGTTGAGATGAAAAAAAGTTAATGGCACGAGCGGGATTCGAACCCACGATCTTCGGCTAGATACGCTGCTGCTCTACCACCTGAGCTATCGTGACCTCGATCCACTCATCAACTCCCCATCTCAACCCGAAGGTCGTGGGTTCGAATCCCTCTCGTGCCATTAACTTTTTTTCATCTCAACTAAAAACCTTAATTAATTGTCAAATATCAATAATATTGATTATAAGTAGTGCGATCCCATGGTAGGGGCTGGCTGTAATTGCAAAAAGATTTTGTGTTTCATGCAATCTGGACTTTTTTTGTGTCCTTTTTCTAAAAAAACCATTTGCCTGCAATATTAGTTATAAGTTTCAACTTTTCCCTTCATCATTGAATTTTAAAAGACAGGTTCTTCTTCATTTCCACAAATTTCAAATTATCAATAGAAATATGTGGTGATTTGCGACCGTTAATCGATAATTATTCAGAAATCGTGAGATGCGGTCTGGTGTGTTGTAGGTTTCAGAAAAACATTTTCTTTATCATGCCAACGTTTTGATATTTATTGAGATCATCTTCAGGGCTCAATAAAGATCGAAACGTTGGCACGATAAAGAAAATGTTTTTCTGAAACCTACATCACACCAGACCGCATCTCACAATTTCTGAATATTTATATCAATAATTTATTACTGTTTTAACAGTGTATACAAAAATCATTTATTCTGTTTGAATGTGATAACAAGCAAATAGAAGTTGAAATAGAAAACAAATAGATAAGCACTGTCTGTTTACAGTGCGAACGATGCCGTGCGATCCCATGCTAGGGGCTGGCTATAATCGCAAAAAGATTTTGTGCTTCATGTAATCTGGACTTTTTTGTGTCCTTTAAAAAAAAAAAAAGCATTTGCCTGCAATGAGATTTGCACGATATAAGCTGAAATAGCAAAGAAATGACGTCGGCATGCGACTTGTACAATGAATTTGTTGTAAACGGAAATACTTTCGAATTTCATGCGATCTGGGTGAGGTTTTTTTCTAAGGACCAATTTACACTGCCTGTGGCATTGCAATATTTCACAAATAAATTTATAAGCTGATATTACAAAGAAAGTAGCTTTAATTGACTTGACCAGTGTGCGACTTGTTTCTAATGCCCGGAATGAGTTAACTATAAACGCAAATAATTTTGAGTTTCATGTCATGTAGATGGAAGTGTTTTTGGTATTTTTCCTAAGGAACCAGTTGCCTTCAATGAGACATTGTGCGTTAGAAGCTGAAATAGCAAAGAAAGTAGCTTTAATTTGGATTTGCTTGGCTCAGCATGCAACCTGTTCACAACGCCCGCACTGAATTTATTGTAAAAGCAAATAATGTTGAGTTTCATGCCAACAGGATGTTTTTTGGTCTTTTTTTCCAAGGATCAATTTAAACTGCCTATACAATGCAATGTTGCACCGATAGAAGCTGAAATTGCAAAGAAAATAGTTTTGATTGGCTAGGCATGGACCAGTGTGCGACCTGTTCTCATGTCAAATGATATCTTGCGATTTCGAGCTAATAGTTGGCTGTAATCTCAAATAATTTTTATTTCAAGCAATCTTATTTGATATTCACTACTTTTCGTGGTCTGCTTGACCAATTAATATCTTTCGACTAATTAAGGTTTTTTTTTGTAGATAAAAAAGTCAGTGTCATGAGCGGGATTCGAACCCACAACCTTCGGCTAGATACGCCATTACTCTACATAATGTAGCATTAAGATTCATTCATTAAAACAAAATTATACAAATTATTTTTCTTCCCATGATAAATTTTTAAAAAGATTTTTTATTACAATCTGCAATATATGGTTGCACTATGTAGTTTGTTGAACATAGATATATTTACAGCTATTTACATAAAATTCACTATTTTTCGCGGTCCGCTTGACCTATTAATAACATTTAATTAAGGTTTTAAGTTGAGATAAAAAATTGTCGCCGAGAATCCAATCCGATTACACAACATTTCAAAAATGGCAAAAAGGAGGGAAAATTCAAAAGGTGGGGTTGAGATGGGAAGTTAGTGCCCGAGTGGATCGAAGTCAGGATAGCTCAAGTGGTAGAGCAACGGCGTATCTAGCCGAAGGTCATGGGTTCGAATCCCACTCGTGACACTGACTTTTTTTATCTCAACTAAAAAAAAACCTTAATTAATTGAAACTTATTTGATATTTTCTCTAAAAACCCATTACATTCCTCCAATGAGATATTTTGCAAGAAGCTGAAATTCTAAGAAAGGCGTTGTCTTTGACATTGCATGGATCAGTGTACTGCCTGTTTAGGCCCGGTTAAGTCAAAACACTAGGCTGCCCTAGGTTGTTTGAAACAAACAGGGAATGACCTTTTTAGTATAGGTTCAAGGTGGAATAATGCAGGCTGGCCAAGTCAAACTTTTTGCCTGCTACAGGCACAATCAATCCTTGCGGGAAGTCATTTCATTGAATCACAGTTTGCTGCTCAAACATGTTGGGTAGCATGTACCACACATTTGTCCAAGACCCCCACACCTCTATCTTTCAATATATGAGTTACTTATAGAATATATGATGAGACCCTTCAAATAGTTCAATGAATAGCACCTGGTTATCAACTTGCCAATTAAATATGATGCTAGTACATTAAAATATTTTGGTTACACATAATATTGTCGTCACGAGGCGCTAGAGGCCACCATGCGGACACATTCGGGTGGGGCAAAATGCCCCTTCCATCACAAAAGGTAAGTCAACCAATTTACGGGCTAACTAGACTCGATTCCTGATTTCTGCAGCGGACTGATCCTAGCTTCTCTAACTCGATAAACCGTAAGGGCTCTTTTGTCTCCACCAATTAAGCTTTTTCATTCGCTCATTATTAATTGCCACAAAGTTCAAGGCCTATTATTTTAGTTTGTATAAATTTCAACATTCAGTAAATAAATTTATTTTTGGTCAAGAAGGTTTTGTTTTACTTTTGCTTTTCATTCTTTTCTTTATTTTAAATCCTCCATGCTTTTATCACAGCGCACTAAGCTAATTCCGCTGTATGTGAACTTTGAAAAACTGCAAGTCGTTTCCCGGACTTAAGGTGAGTTTAGGTAACCGAAGTCCGTCGCAGGAAAGAACAAAGCTGACACCGTAATTTGTCAAATAAGCAGAATGGACAAATGACTGAGCATGTTTTGCCTACATGGTTTGATGTTGTTCCAGTCATGTTCAGGCACAATCAAACATTTCGGTTTGGTTCGCTTCAACCAAACTGACTAATGCAGTATGTTTTGGGCTTGCAAGCAATTAACATGTGATTCTGAGCTTTGAATTTGCTGTAATTGTAAATAATTTTGGTTTTCAAACTATCTGGATAAGTTTTTTCTTTTTTTTTTTTTTTTTCTTTAAAGGCATTTACACTGGCCAAATTGTAATTTCGCAATAATGGAGGCTGAAATTACAAAGAAAAGAGCTGTCATTGACTTTGCATGGGTCAGGTTTCGACCTGTTTACGATACCAATGATGCCATGCGATTCTGTAAGACGAGCTTGCTGTAATCAAAAATGATTTTGGGTTTCATGCGACCTGGATGAGTTTAGGACCTTTCTGTTGAAACATTAATTATCAATTTTTGTGACAACATGGACCCCAGCATTCAAAAAATTCGCTGTATACTTGAATTATATTTAAAATAAAATTAGTTTCTCATGCATGGTGTTCCGTGAACACATGTCTGTTTATCCTAAAAATCCAGGGGTTTATCCTAAAAATTCCTTATTGTCCAAAGTCTTATTCTCAATTGTATTTGAGATATTTCACGTTCAGGTTACTTCAACCTTTCAAAAATTTATCAAATAAAAAGTCTAAAGTATCTCATAAAATATGATTACACCAATGAAAAAAGCACTGAAAACCGTATAAGATTTATTAATGTTCATTCATGTTCAAAATGTCCATTGTGATGAAGGCAAACCTGACATGGTGAACAGTTTGAACATTTCATTTTTATAAGAAGCTTGGCGTTTTTTCTTAAGTTTAATTTTGTACGAAAAAGCCTTTTTTTGATTACTTTGTATTACTTTAATTACGTTTTAATAGAATCTTCAAAATTTAATGACAACTTTTTTTTAATTGTTTGGAACCAAAAAATAAAATTTTTAGCAATTAAACTTTGTTCGTGCCAGCGAATTTTGTACTACCTCTTGTACTACTTCGTTTTTGTCTCCTCAACTCCGCCATTTTGCTTTTGATTGTATTATTTTTTGTCCCCCCCCCTGTTTCCCTACTGCTATCGATTTCCTTCCTACAATTACTACAGTCCGCTAGCTTCAAATCACCTCAAATTCCATCACTTCCTTCGAGTAGTTTCTTGTAATTTCCTGATAACTTTCCTTTAATTTTATTTGTGCCAGACAGCAATTACAATTGCTAACAAAGTAGTGCGAGTGCCGTGTGCAGAACACTTCTGCAGCCGTCACATCGCACCGAGATTGTATGGAGCTCTAAAGGCAGACAAGCTTGGATGAATTTCGATTTTTTTCCTTTGGCCAAAGAACAGGGTGGAATTTGTCCCAGCAGACAGTTCTCTGTCTCGACTCTGGCTACAAGCAGGACGAGCTAGAACGCAGCCATGCTAAGATTAAGTCCATTTTTATTTTATTTTTTTCAGTTCCCTACTGCAACCGTCCAGCGTGTGTTCAATATTGGAGATAATTGACCTTTGTCATAAATTAAGTATAGTTGTTTACAGATCATTAGTAAGGAAAACTTTGCTATAAGTGCCATGAAGTCAGTATTTAGAGAATCAGGAAAATCTTAGGAGTTTAGGTGGCCGTAACAGTTTTGGCGTTGATACTTTGATCACTGAAAGGTCCTGGGTTTGAATCCAGCGGCCCTGCATTCAAACCCCACATAGTTAATGTTTTTTGTTTTCAAAAGCACCAGCACCCAAGGGTTTAGTTGAAATACTCCTGTTAAAATTTTTTTTCTCAAACTTACTAACATGAACTTTGGAAACTCGTAAAATCTTGTGAGTCATTTTGCTTGCTTTGCTTACAATAAATAAACAAATGAATCTTATAGTTTTCATGCACTTTCCATTGATGTAATACAATTTACATTGTAAGGAGATCTGGTGGACTTTATGGGTGGACAATGGGGGCTTTGAAGGCTAAAATTTTACATTTAGGATAACTTCCGTAAGTATTGATGTCTGTTCACAGGGCACTCTAAATTATCTAACTTCGACTCACGATTTCTATAGGCAACATTTTCTTGGTTGAATTTTTTGCCTGCTTCAGTCTCAGAGTGTTGTTCAACCAAATGGCTCCTTCATGGCAATTTGAAATTTGACAAAAGGCTTCCCTGGTCCTACTTGGTCATTGACAACCCGTATTTTCTCATTGCAGGCAGATTAAGGCAAAATTGGAGAGAAGAAACCACTCAATTCCTTCAAGCCTTCGAGTAAATAACCCCTTTACCAAGAATTTAAAACTATTTCTAATCATTTAAAAAGTTAACAAATATTGGAGGACTGGAAAGTAATGTGTTTTTTTTTTTACATTACACCAAACAGATAAATTTAAATGTAATCGCCTTCATGATCAACAACTTTTTGCCATCTAGTGTGCAAATTTTAATGCAGGATTGATAAAAATCAATTGGCTTTTGAGTGAAATATCTAGAGATGGCATTTTGGACATCATCCAAATTTTCTAATTTTTTTCCACTTAGAAAAGGTTGTAGTGATCAGAATAAATAAAGACACTGCAATATTGGGCAAGTATGAAGGGTGAGGCAATACCTCCTACCCCAATTCATTAATTTTTCCAAGGTTCGTCTTGCGCATTGCAGAATAACGCCTTGTCTGTTGACAATCACTAGGGACTTTTCAATTAACGATTGATTTACTCGATCTAATGTTCACAGTAATGATTTGCCCAGGTTTCAACAATTCAAAATGAACAACCCCGCAAATACTCCACCAAACACACAAAAGCACTTTTTGGGGGTGAAGTAAACCTGGCTAGTAAGTACTACATGGCGATTCATTCATAGAGAGCCACTGCCTTTTGCGTGTTGGATTATCATACAGGACCCATTTTTCATCTCCAGTGAACAAGCAATCAAAAAACGTTTTTATATTGTGCCGATGAAGCAATAAGTTGCATGTGGTGGACCGGTTAGCTTTGTTTTCTGCGGGATTTTACCAATCTGCTGTAAATGTCCTTGGATAGTGGACCAAGGTTGATTAAGAGTCTTTGACAGTTTGTCTAAAGTTGGTCTTCCTGATCAATGCTAGTCGAAAAGAACAAAATATTGTATTTAAACTTAGAAAATCACCTCTAACGCACTTGGATAAACATTGCAAATGTTTTTCTTAGCAACTATTGTGTTATTACCCTTGTGAAACCCAAAAAGCGTACAATGCTGGATATGTACCTTTATTGTTAATTGGCTAGCCATTTCTCTATAAATTGCAAAAAAAATTAAGATTTAATTATTTACACAAGTCATTCTACCCTTAAAATGTCTTAACACGACCTTGAAGTACACAATGATAAACGAATATTGACATGGGCAGAAACGACTTTCCGATCCCCCCCCCCAATATAAACATCTACTTACAATATGAAAAATTATGACTTTAACTGTAATGAATTTACAAATTGAGCTTAATAGGCTGGACAAGATCAACCACCCATCCATAATAATTCATTTCATGTTGATCTTCTTCATGCTCATCATATGATAAATTGTTCAGATAACGAAGTGGAGTTGGTTTAAAGATAGGGAAAGACCTAGAAATCTTAATTTATCGATATAATTTCAGTACTGGAGGGCACATGGTGTGGAATACACCAAGAGTTTTATGACTTTTAGACTACTGCGTGGTCAGTGTAGAATGGTAAAATGTAGAATACCTTCCTACCACCTGATATGAAACAAATTATTTATAAATTTGAAGGGGAAAAATATAACATGGTTGTAATTATTCCAGCAGTGCTTTTTTGGAACATAACTACCCCGGGCCTATTGTTCTGATTGATTCAGATGTTGTTGCTGAAACAAACCTATGATCATACTGATGTAGATATTTTGAAAAACGTAAACTGTGAATGATAAAAAATATTTTTATTATTTTCCTGCATGTGTTTAAAGGAAAAGTATCACAAAAATAAACCAAAATAAAAATCAAAAACGAATGAAAAACTTATTTGAATCAGTATTTCAAAAGTGCTTGAGAATTTTTTATCGTAATCTTGGAAAACCTCTACAATTTGTTAGGAGGATATAATAAGATTTTAGTACTTACGATGGTATAAGTGGAGGGGGAAGAGCACCTTGGCCTGGCCTTCCGCCTGGAGGACCTCCCGGCCCTGGCCTCGAAGGAATTGCGGGTGCTGGACGACTGGAAGCTGGTGGTGGTGGAGGCCCACGAGAAGTCGGACCTGAGCTGGGTGCCATCGAAGGCGCCCCGCGCCTCGGCCCTCCAGGGGATGGAGGCGAAAGCCTAAACATAACAAACATTAAAATTTCTATTGTTTAAATTAGAAATCGTTTAAATACCTAGGATTGTCCATTCCAGAGGCGAGCCAGTCGTTTTTAACAGGTGGAGGAACCGGAGTTGAAACTGTGGCCATTGACACATCACCTATGATTCGCAGGGCTTCTTTGCAAGCGTGATACATCCTAAGCATCTCTTCTCTCTTTAACGCCTCTTCTTGACTTTCCTCCATCATCGATGACTAAAAAAAAGCACATTCAGAAATGATCAATCAAACTACAGTTAAGACATACCTGATCTCCTGAAGCGTACAGGTGAGCCAGAAGTTCACCATTAATGAAATCCTTAGCGTTATTTATAATAAGAAACATAATGGTCTTCGGGACTAGATCTCTTGTCGTCTTTGTTACAATTTTCATATAGGAGTCGACCAAATTCCGAATCGTTTCGACCTGACGCTCAAGCATGGGATCCATTGAAGAAGTGCCTTCACTTCCTCCCTTTAAAAATCACAAATTTCAGTTAAAAAATTGTTAAGAAATAATTCGAGTTTCATTATCAAAAATAATTTAAAAAAGAGAAAGTGAACAATTAGTTTTATTTTTTTCTGTTATATAGTCTGTAAATCAAAAGTGAATAATTGCATAAAATGTAAAAAAATACTGTTAAAGAAAATTAAGGCGCATGCTGCATGCTGATTACGCACAGAATTGATTATTTGAACCTGTGCATGTAATTTTTTTTTTTTTAAGAAAAAATTTAAAAAAGCTATTTCAAAGCAAAAATCCATGCAAAAATTAAAATAATGCCCAATTTATGTCGCATCGTGCCGAAAACTTCAAATTTTTTTTCAACTTGGATATTTAAAAACAAACAAAAAATCTACTATTGAAAATTACGTCCTTTATTAATTTACAATACAAATTTTTCTTTTCTTTTTAATTAAAAAATGTGCAAATACAAATAGATTTTCACAAATTTTCAACCAACCTCATAACCCTCCTGTTTGGTTTTAAACATAAGAAGAAATTTTTATTACTTCTCTTTTGTTTATGTCAAAAAAAAATTTAACTTAAACCAATTGTTCACTAACGAGTGGAATTTGACTCCTTCATAAAAACTTCTACCCATAATCAAAATAAAAACTAAACTAATACTGTTTATACGGATTAGGTTTTTTAAATATATTTATTACAACCTTGGGATTAATCCAAACTAAAATTACCCAACAGTACTATTGTGCACTTAATTTGTACTTATCGCATATCAAGTGATTGGTTTAATTTTTTCTTGATTCGACACATTCAACCTGAACAATAGAACACCAGTTTTCAGTCGAATTTTTGATAATGATTTTTATGTTTATTTTGACTTCTAGAATAGGCGAAAATCAATAATGTTAAGAGTAGAACCTTAGGTCGTACCTTAGAAAATTAATACAAATTCTATTACAAAATAGAACAAAAGGCAGAAGAACTACTATTAAAATTACAAAGGGATTCTTGTTTTTAAAACACACCTAGAGCCACAATATATATACCCAGACTGTCGCCCTTATGTGCATATGTAAAAAGGATGGTGGCAATCGATGTATTGAGAATTCATCATACAACGGAAAAAAAGCACCTATACAATGCTGGCTATACCAAAATCTTTGTGTTAACACAACTGGCTTGGCTAAAATTATCTCTGACATCAGGAAAATTCTAGACTTCAAAAAACTATCGAAGATGGTAAATGGTACGGGTACGGGTGTAAACCCCCACCCCATTCAAACCAAATTGCCCAATGTGTACATGAATACAAGCAAACGCAACAATAAGTCAGATAAATAGGTAGCTGTAGTCTCCAAGCCATGATAAACAATACTAATCTGGAATGGCCTGTATGACCTTAAAAAAAAAAAAAAATAGAATCTACAGCCTAAAGTAAAGTAGATCCCAAGTCATGAGGGAATTTCAGGTAACGACGCAGCAGATATACTTAACAATTTAACTTTTACTACTGATTGGATTGATCATTATCTCTGTTTAGCAAAATCGAGTAACAATGAAGAAATTTCCACCGATTAATTAATCCTTGTTTTGGTGATCTAGGGTCAGACCTAGTCCTTAAGCGGAAAACACACCCGACACAACGCAACCTGACCCTACTCGACGCCTTGTCTCGTTTTCGTAGGATGTGCACATCTGTTCGACATCAAGCACACGCCATGGACAGTCACACAGTGTGTATCATAATTACAACGCCTCTTTTGCTCTTAATCCACTTTATTATGAGCAAAACCATGTAATATAAATTATTAGTTAAATTTTATTGAACAAAACCTTTTAATAAATAGTTAGGTAAATTTTATTAGCCAATCACATAATAAATTGTTAGTTAAATTTTATTAGCGAACCCATGTAGTAAATCGTTAGTTAAATTTTATGAGCAAAACCATGTAATAAAGTGTTAGTTAAATTTTATGAGCCAAACCAAATAATAAATTGTTAGTTAAATTTTATTAGCGAAACCATGTAATAAATTGTTAGTTAAATTTTATGAGCAAAACCATGTATAAATTGTTAGTTAAATTTTATGAGCCAAACCACATAATAAATTGTTAGTTAAATTTTATTAGCGAATAAATTGTTAGTTAAATTTTATGAGCCAAACCACATAATAAATTGTTAGTTAAATTTTATTAGCGAAATCATGTAATAAATTGTTAGTTAAATTCATTCTATCATGGTATTCCAATGTTTTGATCTATTTTTTGCCATGGTTTCGACCTTCTCGGACACCAACTTGCCATCTCTATAACAAGTGACCGTATTAATTATTTCAATAAATTATTATTTTTTTTTTTTAAATTTAATGTCTTGGTCGAGATGAGGCCATTTGAGTAAGTCGCAGAGAATCGAATCCTGATTACACAATAGCTCGAGTGGCTAGAGCAGTGACATACTAAGCCGAAGGTCTTGAGTTCAAATCCCACTCGTGACACTAACTTTTTCAACTCAACCAAGACCTTTTATACAAAGAATTATTAAATAATTTTTATAAAAATTTTGATCTGGTTTAATTTGGTTTAAATTACAATAAACATTTTATAATTAACGTAACAACAAAAATACATATAGTTCCGGTTTTTTGTTAATTCGATGAAAATCTGGACAGAGGGGAACTTAGTTGCATCGCATAGCGTAGAGTAGGGTAGCGTTGCGTGGCATCAGGCAGATGTGCACGGAGGTAATACAATTTTATGGAAAATTGGACACGGCATTTCCATCAGGTCTCGTTACATTGTGTTGCATCAGGTAAGTGTGTTTCCCGCTTTATCCATCCTACCACAAAAGTTAGGTTACAAGGGCTGTCAACAACTTGGTCATTTAGCCCTGAACCCATGCAGTTTCTTGTTTTAAACATAGACATGCTCACTCTCATTCATTATGAGGGATTAGTTTCAATCTGAAAACAGGACCTGCAATTTAATTCCGAAGAACAAATGCTTTTGTAATTGTAGAAGGGATCACTTGAAGTTTGCTGTGATCAATGTTAAAAACAATTCTTATTTATATACCATTCGCTCAAGTGGAATACTTCATATCTGATCTAATATTATGAATTATTTAATACCCATCGACCATCTCACACTACATATTCACTCTAATAAATACATTCACTTTCAATATATACAAAATGACCTACCACTAAATAAAATTGCCTTTTTTTCCTCCAATAAGAACAGGGGATCCAAAGACTCGCCTTGCAGACACTTTTGTTTCTAAACTATATTTTGGGCCTTGCGGATGGAATTTTTCCAGGAGGCTGGAATATTTTGAAAGCTTGGTGATATAAAATTGAATCTGTCTTTATTAATGACCAAGACGAGGTCATTTCTATATCAATTTTTTCGAGTCGATCACCTCAACTTTATAAAAATTTTTTTTCCCAGACATGGATTCTCAGTCAGGTTGAATGTGTTAAGCAATAGTTTAAATTTTTCAAAATACCCTTATCTTTTCTTACATAATACAACCCATAGCCTAAAACTTTTGTTAAAAAAGTGAATATCCTGTTCCAACTTATGCCTAATTTTTAAGCCATTAAGACATGAGTTATTTTATTTTTTCTAACTGCACACTGAATATCCGCTAAGTAAAAACCAATCACGTGCTTTAGCAATAGCTTTGCTTAAAGGTGTGTTGAAAATGATGAGCAAAAGGGAAAAATAAAACAAAAATCGGAAAAATAAACATAAAAATTTCAAAAAGATGGTGAATTGATCATGAACGTTACTCAAAGATGTTTATGCAGCTGCATGAGAGAAAATATGCACACTTCGTTCTACATCGATACTATAAGAAAATTATGATTAGAAGCCTTTTAACTCTTAACACCACAGGTTTGGACCAAGCTCTGTTCAGATTAGCCGAAGCCGAATAATGCAAAAGCAAGGAACAGGTCTGGTAGTCACACCGAAATAGGAGAAATAAACATTGAAAAAAATGCATGTATCTAAAAGTTGAAAAGTATGCAGGATGATTTGAAAAAGCAGGACAGAGATATTGTTAAGTTTTGTATCATTTAGATTTGCCTACCCCTAGTTTTAGCTAGTCGCAAACTTCAACTTTTAATTAATAATTTATAATAAAACTATTGAAGATGGCGACAAGTCAAAATGAGTCTGAAAGATAACAAGCAGCCAAAAATGTTTGGAAAGTACCAAACTGCAGGTTTATCGCCACCTCGCAATTTTCGGATTAAAGTGCAATGAAAAATCAACAGAAGAGTTTAGATGGCAAGAAGCTATAATAATAATAATAATACATACATGTTTAGCGGTCATAATTGCCCCCCCCCCCCAAGGGTTTACAACATGAGAGATTATATTAACCCTCAAGGTGCTGGTGTTTTTGAAAAAAAAAAAAAAAAGCCCATTTGTATGTCAAATTCGAATGAAGGGCCACTGGATTTGAACCCGGGACCTTTACCTTACAGTGAAGAGTGCCGTATCAATGCCTAAACCGTTACGGCCACTGACGCCCCTAATTGACCATATTATTATTATTATTATAATTTTTTTTTTAATATCTAAGGTCTTGGTTGAGATGAAAAAGTCAGTGACACGAACGGGATTCGAACCCATGACCTTCGGGTCAATACGCTGCTGCTCTAACCACTTGAGGTCTATGTCATGATAGTTCAAGTGGTTAGAGCAGCGGCGGATTGACCCAAAGGTCATGGGTTCGAATCCTGCTCGTGACACTTTTTTCATCCCAACCAAGACTTTAGATAAAAAGAATAATTAATTGAAATAATAATAATTAAAAAAAATTTCCACACAAAAAATTCTATGCCAACTGATTAGTGGGTTAAAGGTTAAAATAAGTCATCCACTTTAAGTCCTAATCACTACGAGCCGTAGTCTATTGAACAATCTCCATTATTATCTAAAGCTTATTAAGCATGAAGATTTTTATCAGTCCTTTGGTGAACGTTTTTACGTCTTGTCCTGGAATACATTCCCACTGAACCATGGACTTATTCTTAATCTATATTTTTGGCAGTTTGGTTATCTCACAAGAGTGTTCAGGACAAATAGGTGTCCTCACTGAACTTTCCTTGGCTGAGTATCGGCCTCTTCATTGTCCCTCTGCCCTGTTGCCCCTGGTAATCCACTCTATCACAGCTGCTTTATCAGATTCTTGCCTTTCAAGAAGTACATCATGACACAGCATTGTTTCAAAACTTACAAATTGATTCCGTAACATAACTAAATGAAAAATCAATTTGGGATGCAGGCAAAGCCCTCAGTACTTCTTTCTTTTGACTGTCCACATAAGTAAAGGAAATAATGAAAATTTCAATATCCAAGAAGGTGCAAAAGGCAAATTTTGAACCCTGAATCACTGACTTTTAAGCAATTACGGGCACAGAAATGGGAGGCAAAAGCTTGAGGAAAAATGTCTGGCTAGCATAAAAACAATATGCCAAAACGATGAAATATCTAATATGCGAAACACAGACCTGTGGCATTGAGGGTTAACTTTCTAATTGTTCAAAATAGTTAAATCATCAATTGACCTTCTTTTTAATTTAATATGGATGAGGGAAAAGTTTTCAAATGCAGTGTCAATGCTTTGTGTAATACAGAAATACAATGTTGACCACACTCACACAGTCAATTTGCCAAATATTAGGTTAAAAAGCAAATGTGGTAAAGAATAAATAAATTTCAAAAAATTAATGGAATTGTTAAACAAAAAATAATAAAATAAAATTTAAATTTAAAAAACAAGGTGCAGCCAACATGAACTAACCCTCTAAAATTTGTATATAAATTTTTCCAAGAGAAAAAGCAATAAAAGGGGTTTTAATTTGTTTAAAAGAAACAAGGGCTAAACAAAAACAAGACACAAATACTAAATATCTTGTACACTTTCAAAAATCAAAATCGATATTTGGGTGATAAAACGCTACAAAAATGTAGTCAACATTAAAAGGCAAATTTCTCTCAAATATTGTTTTTCTAAAAGAAAATAAATAAAGTCGATTGTTTAAGCGTTACGAAACACATTCGGCAATTGTAGAAAATAAAATAGAAATAACAGCACCAAAAAAGATGGCTTGGCGTATTGTCGGTATTATGGCCCTTTCTCGTCTCACTTACCCTCACCTACAAACAATTATTAATCACAATAGAAAAGAAGTAAAGATTAGAGGTAAAATACACTCTCACACAAGCACAAACGGAAAAAAACATCAACAACCAAAACAAAAACATTAATTTTTTTTTTGCTTAAATAACAAACTTTTTTCTATTCAGACACTGCTTGATGAAATTATAATTAATACCATGATTTTTAAAAGTTAATAGCAGTTAAAATGATCAAAGTTTTATAGTCATATAAAATGTATTTATTGCATATATTGGATTATAAAATAAGTTCATAGCGTTTTAAATTATTCAAGTTTGGTAATTTAAATGGTGGGGGATATAGGTAATTTTCATAATTTTAATGTGGATTTTTTTATTACTACAGAAAGAAAAATACAGTTGAGACTGGAAGGAAAAATAACCCATCCTTAACGACCCAAGACATCAAGGAGACAATGTATCTTGTACAAGCATTTTAATGCATCTGAACAGATGGATGTTTATCAGGGCGATACGTAGGTGCCTGCCTCAAATTTATTGGATCACATCTTCATCTGTGTTTCCCTCATATAACACAATGTAAACAGCCTATTTTAAAAAGATTGATAACTGGAGATGAAAAATGGTTTATTTTTAATATTCAGAGGAAAATACAGTGACCAAAGGCCAGATTACATCTCAAGAATGTGCACTTGGTTGACTGCTTTTTCAAAATTTTTGATTTAATTGGTTGAATAGAAGGGTGTCAAGGAGAGTAGCCAGGTAGTAAATGACTGGAAATAGTCTGAACTCATCCGCCCAGGCAGATAGCTGCAAGCGCATGGTTGACTCAACATAACTGTTCTTTCATCCTTCACACTAGTTCACCATGGAAAGCTTTGCATTGCAAGTTTCAATGAGGAACTGTTCTATGAAGAAATTAGTTCTACGAAATGGGACATTGGGTGTGAGGAGAATAGTGACAAAATTAAGAAGCGAGAAGCTTGGCAGGAAATTGCATACAAATGTACAATTTTAACGATATGGAGCCTGCTGAATGGACGAAATTCTAACTTTTCTTCGACTAGGTTTCCTACTTTTTCATTTTTACCAAACTGTATCAGGTGTGCTGTTTTATGAGCTTCACCCACTCAACCGAGCTGTTAATTCTGATCGAACAGTAACGTTCGCTTCAACATTCATGCATGCACCAGAAATTGCTGAAGCTCAGGTGGGATGTACTACCCCACCCACTGTAATCGCCTGATCTCACCCATTCATACTGTCTTATTCCAGGCTCTGCGAAATTCTAGGGAAAATTTTATTTCACTTGAGAACTGCAAACAACACTTGAAAACACATCGCTGAAAACCTGTTAAGTTCCAAGAGGGTCGAATTAAAAAATTGTACGGAAGATGACAAAAGGAAATGGAACAAAATGGTTCCTATATTAATATTAATTAAATTTAATAATTTAGTGCTTGAAAAATTTAATCGAATTCACCATAAGGAGAGGGAAAAACGCTACGGTCTTATTTTACAACATATTTTAGATTCTGGGTGATTTCTGCTGTTCAAAAGCATATAGTTTTAATATCAAAATTTCAGAGAAACAAAAAGCAAAGCGACAAATTTAAATCTATTCATTTTGTAAAATTTTCCAACAAACAAGTTCAACATTGGGGTGACTTCATCAAGGAAATCCTTTTTACCTCAAGCGACACCGTAACTATTAGGCGGCATAAAAGGAAGTGTGATATGATGTCATTTTTTTATATATGTATATAACTATTATTATTGGGTTGGTGCAAAATTAAAGCAGGTTTTGAAAAGTTGTTTTATTTTCACAGATGCTTGTCAAGTAAACAAGGCTAAATCGTCAAATCTAAATTATGGATTAAAAATAAATACTTTTATTACTTACATTTTATTATTTTTTATACAAAACGTTTTAATTTGTATTGAATTTTATAAGAGTGAGGACCTAGAAATTAAATATGGCCAAACTAGATTTTTATCTAATTTATTTGTACAAATTTAAACTTTGGTGAAGTGCAGCCCAAACCGCGCTTAACATCAATACAGCGATGGTTTCAGAGATTTCGATCTCGAAGGATGGGAAGGTCACAATAGGCTTGCCATTGTGGACGACGAATAATTCAAAAAGGTGACAGAAGAAAATTCACATAAGCCAACATAGGAAATTGCGGAAGAGTTTAGTGTTGACCACTCAACGTTATTTCCCATCTGGAGCAAATTGGTAAAGTAAAGAAGTTTGACAAGTGGGTAATGTACGAACTAACCAAAGCTCAAAGAAATCAATGCTTTGAAACATACACGTCTCTTCTGTTGCGCCACAAAAACGATCAATTTTTCCATCGAATCATCACGTGCGATGAGAAATATTCTATACAATGACTAAGGTGTACAGGTAAATGGTTGGACAAGGATGAAGCACCAAAACACTTCCCCAAACCAAATCTGTACCCAAAATGGTTATGGTGAATGTCTGGTAGTTGTTCATTATAATTTTCTGAATTATGGTGAAACTATCACAGCAGAGAAATATTGCCAAGAAATTGACAAAATGCACGGGAAACTGCAACGACTTTGTCCAGCATTGGGAAGTGCCAATTCTTCTTCGCAATAGCACAAACTCTGTGGAAAGTTGAGGACTTAGGATATGAAACCTTACCGCACCCTCCATATTCACTCGACCTCTCGTCTACAGACATCCACTTTTTAAGGCATTCTAAGGTATAAAATTTTTAGAGCTAAAAACACATTCTAAAACTTTATTGTGAGAAAATAAGATTTTTATGTCAGCATAATAAAAACGCTTATTACAGCTGGCAAGATGTATAGATTGTGATGGAAAATATTTTGAATAAATTTTCTTTATTTTATAAAAATTAAAAACTGTTTTATCTGCCTTTTCAAAACCTGCATTATTTTTGCACCAGCCTAATACCAACAAATTTAATAGTTTTGGAAGTGTTCTTGCTTACATTATTGAATTATAATAGTTTGTCATTTAATAATTTATGGGCACTGCATTAATTTTTAGTGGTCATTGACTAACTGTCACTCGATAGTTAACTCTTGTCATTACTGATAAACTTGATTAGCTGAAAAAACCACAAGGAAAACCCAAACTCACAACATTTTCCTTCTCCTCGTTTTCTTTCGGTTTAAACAATTTCGAGAAGAAATCCTAGAAAAATATTCGTTTTCATATAACATCTTTATAACGAAAAATTGTTAGTGATCGGGGTTAATATTTCTCCGGAAATTAGTGTTTGATGAATTTTTGCGATTTTCGGGCCTCCCTGAATGAAGGAAATCTCTTTAAAAGGAACAATGATAAATCGGGAAATAAACATCATTTTGGACGGTAATGATATATACTTAAAAAATATAATAGAAATTTTGCTAATTACCTCCTCCCCGTTGGCTTGTTCAGTCGACTTTTCTGGATAGACGCCAGCCCTCAAAAACGAGGCCTTCCACGAATCGACTTCATCTTGTGTCTCACAACTCAGATCAAGTTGTTTATAATCCTTAAAATATCATTTAAAATAGTGTGAGTATTAAAAAGAAGATTTTAAACTTTGAAATTTTATTTTAAAAAAATAAAACCCACCTTGTAAACATTGCGTCCGTCCGGGTTAAATAATGAAAACATATGTCGCCTGGACATAAATCCTTGCTCAATATCTTTTAATTTCAATCCATCAAGGGGTAGCATGTATTTCTTCTCTCTTTCCTATTATTTACACAAAATAGAGAAAAAAAGTTAAATACTAAAATATTTGTTAAAAGGTTTTAATAAAAATACCTCTTCATCTTTAAACCATGATATGTTTTCGGACGTGAGGACAAACCAATAATCGCGACTTCCGCCTTTCATGATGCCGAGGTTGTGGATGCACATCCACCCTTTGCGTATGACCTGGTTGCCGAGTTTGCGACCGGACTTGTTCGAGTTCTCCGATGTCTGCTGGGCACTTAAGACGCTGGGAGTTAATGGTTAAACCTATAATTTTTCTACCGTCTGTATTACGCGATGCACCTACTTGGCAAAACCGATGAAGTCTTCGTGGTTCGTGTTCATATAAGCGAGCTCGCAGTCGACGAACATGATGAGCTGGTCCTTACAGAGTTGTTCGCGCTGGCGAACGTACGATGTAATTATCCTCTCTGTCTCTTCTCGTAGTCTCGGATATCTTGCCATCTTTTAACCAAAATTGCATAAATATATATAATATTTTTTTTTTAATTAGAAGACAGCTACCTTGTCTGTGCATATCCTGACAACGTTCGATAATTCTACAACGACTAGATCAACGCATTTTAAACAAGGTTCTTTAAGACGAGATATCTGTTTTTTTACTATAGCTTCAAACGCCATATCAGGAGTGAAAAGACCGACTCTGATACCTAAAAAAAAGAAATATTAATTTTATAAATATATTTTGCGTATAAAATAGATTTAAAACAATCTGTAAATATAATATAAATTTTCACATATACAGCGATTCCATGTTTATCTTGTAATTGGAAAAAATGATTAACAGGTTGATGGAAAATGTGTCATGGGTCTTAATACGAGGGGCAGTTCAGTTTATGTTTTCATTCCAGCCTACGAAAAGGCCATTTTTTGTTCTCAGGCCTTATTAGCCTGTTTTAGCCTTTAATTACCAACAGAAAATAAACATTCTAAATGGAATTAGAGCAGAGCGGAAAATAGTTAAGGGAAAAAAATGGAAAGGGTAAACCTCATACAAAAAAATCACTGAAACATGAAGCACGCTAGGAAGAAGAGGATTGGTAAAAATAAAAAGCTCTGTTTTAAGAAGGAAAACTAAATGTGAAGGTGCCAAAAAAGAAAGTGGAACTGGGCAGAGGAAAGCTGGGCAAGAAAGGTCACTGAATAGAAGCTGTACAAGAGAACAAGAAGAGACTGAATAACAGGAAGACGGATGGATAAGATATTACAATTTGCAGGCTTATAGAAAGAAAGAGAAAAAATGAAAAATATGGGGAGGGGCCTATGTTCCATCATAGCGCTATTGAAGAAGAGTTCTTTTTATTAGAAGGAAGATTAACTTTGTAAAAAGAATTATAATTTAGGATAAAAGTTTTTATTTAAGGTTTTATTAAAGTAATTTCTTATCATTCAACTTCATACTGGGTGTCGTGGATGAGGGGCCAAACACTTTACAATATTTTTTTATATCATGATCAAGATCTATGCAACGGCCTAACAACTTAACAAATTTAACCCTAGCATTTGTTGTTTTCTTACCATGGATATTTCTAATTGCAAACGCTATTTCCCTCCTCAGCTCTTTTTCATCGAATTCCATTTTGACAAGTTCAAAAGGGAAACGCTCGTGGAAAAGCCTGTTGATCTTAGCACCACCCGATAGTTCGTTTGTGTTGATCTGAGCCGACCCACTGCCTTCGATCGTCCGTTCGAAATCGGATTGAAGTTGCTGTATCATCCTGGAATAAATTACCAGTTAAAAAAAAAAAAAAAATGGACGTACGATACTAATAACGTTTACTTACTGTAGCATAGCTTTGGTCTTGATAGCCGGGTCGTCAGGCCTGAAGTGTTTATACTGTTCGACATCTTTTTCAAGCGCTAACATTTGTTTCTGTACAATTATTTTTAAAAGATTAAAAAAACGTTTTATGTTTTAAATTTCAATAAAAAATACCTGAAGTTTATCCCGGAGTCCAGGCAATGTGTCTCTGATATGGTTTGTAAGCTGCTGGTTAAGCACTCTCTGCAGGTACGGAGTTCCAAGACGATCTGCCATATGACGGTATGACTGATGGCTAAAAATAATTTTTTTTTAAATTTATTTTACTAATAAATACCTAAAGAAAATATTAAAATAAAATACCTTAAGAAGAATTTCCGCTCGGCAGCTAGAGCGGCTTTGATGTCTTTCCTTCCGTCAATATCCTTCTGACTCCTGTTAACTACGCCAATGTAACCACGGCGGAGTGGGAGCAACTTATTTTCCAGGATGTCCCTGGCGTCTGTCCCTTCATCCATCAAGTCCAGTTTCGTGATGACGCCGATTGTTCTCACACCTGAATGGAAAACAGGACATGTAAATTCTAACACTCGTGCTTTCATCAATTTGAAATAAATTGAAATTTTATTACTGATTGTCAATTTGAATTTTTATGATAGTGATGTCTTTTGATTTTAACTAGCTGTACTTGTTAAAATGAGAATTTTACTAGTTAAAATTTAATTACTCAATTAATTATATACATACATTACATAATTATATACATACAAATACATGTGAATCGTACAGCCTCGATAATGTAGTACAATCGTTAATAAAAGTGTATATGAAGCCGCGATTTGCTTATAATTGGAATAAATGGGGAGTCAAAATAAGAAATTTGTGGCATGGGCAACGGAAGTCACGGTAGCTCAAGTAGAAGAGCAACGACATATTTAGCCGAAAGTCATGAGTCCCACACAAATTTTTCATTTTAAAAAATAGGTATAATTAATTGAGTAATTATTTAATTAAGAATAAGTTGATAAAAATTATAAAAAAGTTAGTATTAAAATTTAATAATTAACAATTGAAAGTTTTAAAATGTTTTCTCAAAATCTTTAATAAAAAATAATAATAAAATATAATGAAGCATAAGACAGAAAAGGAAAACAACTTCCTAAAACTTTGAACATATAGGTACAAAAAAACAAAAAAAAACTATACATAAAGTGGACATTATGTTTGCTACGGTCGCTTGAGGAATCTCTAGCTACACAACAAACATTCTCTACACTTACCTAACTTTCAAGAAGTTAAAGGAAGTCTTGGAAATATTGTTTTCAATGGTGACAAATCCGATTGAATAAAAATAAAAAAGAAAGTTTAAAAAAAAGTGATTTCTCTGACCTTGCTCGTCGACCTCCTTGGCTAGTTTGAGTGCATCGCTATTTGCTAAATCTGTATTTGCAGGTGTTACGGCTAAAATAAGACAGTTGTCACGTTTGATAAATTGCAGGATCATCGAACGGATCTGGTGTTCGATATCGGGCGGCTGGTCTCCGATCGGTACCTTGGTCATGCCTGGCAAGTCTACCAATGTCAGGTTCAACACTGGAACATTAGCGTATGGGACTCTCTAACATGCACAAGAGCAAAGTGTTTGTGTCTGGACCCATGTTCCCTCTGCCACTGCACAATAAATATGAACAAGAGCTCTTAAAAAATAAAGAACTATTTTGTTTCCTTTTTAAAAATTATTTTAGACACTTTCTCTAATCCCTAATCAGTACAACACTTTATATTTTCTTTAATATAATTAAAACTTTTCCTATTGTAACTGAAATTAGGTTGGAAAATAAGTTTGTTCAGTTTTTGCACTACAAGTTTACGCTGCCAAGGGCAATGCTTAACTGCCTCTTATGCTGTTGCATAGCTAAAAAGCGACATTTCTCATAACATTTTAGTGAGTTTTGTTCATGTTTAGTCACTTGTATAATAATTTTTTCATAATGGAAGGAAATGACATGTCTCAGCAGCATTTTTTTTTTTTTTTTTAATTAAAAAAAAGGCACAAGCTTCCGAGGATCATAAAAACATATGCAGCATATATGGAGATGGAAAACTTAACAGAACGTGTGTACCAAATTTGCCAAATTTCAATCAAGAAACATCAACATCAGTGATGCACCCCTCATCGGTCATTCTATCAGGGTTGATTTAAGTTGAGAAAAACAATCGAAAAAAATTGATCACAAATCATGCATTAAATTGAAGCAGTAATAAACATATCCAATACAAATATTGAAAACTGCTCGTTAAAGTTGAGATGTTTCAAAATCCTATGGGTACCGCAAACTTTGAAGTCAATTTAGCCGCTTAAAAATGTCGCCTAGAAAATGACCCATTTTTAACGCATGTGATTAAAAGGAAATGAAAAATCGGTTAAAGCTGTGATTAAGAGATCACGGGGAACTGAGGGTGAACCACCTTAAGCAGCCTCGCAAAAGGGGTTGTCCACAAAGGAAATCGGAAAGTCGTCTTACATCAAGTGATACGACACCCCAAACATCGTTAATACCCCGTAGTAAATATTAAGACTTGGAATGTTTTGACACATCCTCCGCAATCTCCGGACTTAGCACTTTCTGATTACCACTTATTCAGGAACTCTGCATCGGGAAACCTCCACTAACGAGTAGGCTCACAAAAAGCATCAGAAATTTTATGAATAGAATGGCAAACAGCTAGCAAGAGGTCATTGATAAAAAGCATCTTAATTGACTAAAATGGACATGTATATAAAATAAAATGGGATTAATTGCACTCAAAAAACTCAAACAAACTTATTTGCCAACCTTATAGAAAATTTACAGATTTAACTAAAATTAATAAATCAATATCGTTGGGATTGAATATGACAAATAATAAGACATTTTCACCTTAAAATGTATTATAATTTTTTAAAAACTTATTTCTGTCAAATTATGAATATTTGGTTTAAAACTAAAAATTATTTTAATTCTGTTGCATTAGTGCTTTCAAATTTTATATTAAATATTGTACTGATTAAGTAAATAAATGTTCTTTAAATAATTAAATATTTAATTAAAAATAAAAGCTTAGATACATTATTATAAGCAGAGCCATGAGGAACAAGGATCCAAAAAAATAAAATAAAATAAAATAAATGAAATTGAAAGAACATAAAAACAGAAACAACAAAAAGAACAAAAATTCTGTGTTTTCCCTCAAGCACGTGCAACTAACTAGTGTTTGCATCCACTTTTTCGATTGTTCAACGGCTTTCTATTTTGAAATTTTTTCTCTCTGTTCGACCTAAATGGCCAGGTTTTGATTTTACCGTCTGGATCGGTTTGCTTTGCCAGCTGAAGCGCATCGGACGTGGCCAAATCTGTGTTTGCCGGCGTGACAGCAAGGATAAGACACGTCTCCTTGGTTATAAATTGAAATATCATGTCCTTTATCTGACTCTCGATGTCAATTGGCTGATCTCCGACTGGTACCTTGGTCAGCCCAGGCAAGTCGATCAGTGTGATGTTCAACACTGCTCAAGGAAATCTCAATTAAAAAAAAATACCTTCCCAATTTGTTCTTTCTGTTTTTGTTAATGTTTCAAAAATAAATATAAATTCAATAAAGAAAAGAAACGCCCAGTAATCAAAATATTATTTCATTTAACAAACTCATTATCAGTATTTTACCCAAATTTTAATTACAAAAAGAATTAAATTAAAATTTAAGAAAAATCTAACAAGAATTTAAAATTAATGTTTGTTAATTTTTTCATTAACCCAGACACACCCCCTTTTTTCTTATCCCAGAAATAAATTAAATGTCAGTTATACCATTCGGAGAGTACACTCTTAGATTAATCGGTACATTGGAAATCCCTTTGTTCGAGCCAGTCACTCGGTCAGTCTCGGCTTCGATCTCACGCCGTATCTCGTCGAAATCCGTGAACTTCTTCCCCTTGCAGTGGAGGAACTCGCCATGTTCTAAAAAAGAGACGACCCTGAGTTGTTGGCTTTGCACATTCGCTATTTGTTTTCATTGGGCTAATGGTCTCAAGCCAATGAACCGTAATTAAAGGTCATTTCAACAATTACCTGTGTTGCTATTGATCAACTGGAGAATCAGCGGCCTTCTTGTCACAATACCAGAACCTCTTGGCAAGAAATCCCTGGAAGGAAAATTAAAAATAGCACATAAATAAAGAAAAATTATTGTAAAAATTGTTTTCATTTGATTTTTTAAATAAATAATTTATTTGTAGTAAACATCTTACAAAAATGTGCCTGTTTTTTATTCTCTCGGGCACAATCCTGGCACTATGGCCAGTACCCAGAGGATGGATAGAAGTTAAGAGAAATTAATCAACACACTCAATACGAGGGATTAAGGAACGTCTCGAGGTCATCAAAAAACATTGTTTAAGGTGTTGTGGTGGGCTCTCTGGATGGGAAAGTGTAGAGAAAGCGTAAGGCATAGGATGACTTCAATAATCGAGAAGTTGGAGTGGAACTTTTAGAAGCAAGATCAGGTCAGTTTGTCGTGTATAATGAGGTTAGTGACAAAATAAGGGGCTTTTGACAATTTTAGGATCTTTGAATGAAAGGAAAGTAGGTGGATGGCTTGGCAGAACCCCACTGTTCCACTAGTAGAGTAGTTGCTGTAAGTCTTGTGGGCCACGGTAGCCGAGTGGTTAAGGCGACAGACTCTCGGCTAGTAGATCCCGCGGTCGTGGGTTCGATCCCCACCGTTGCCTCTGGACTTTTTCTGACATCTAAGGGGTCTGGTGGCCGCAACTGAAAGAAATTGAAATTGCACGACCCTGAATTTGGTCCCAACCCTCTTCAAAAATGAGTTTCTTAGATGGAAGAACACCGGCACAACGGGGCTCAAGTTCATATTTGTGTTGCAAGCCCCCCCCCCAAAAAAAAATGTAGCCAGGAATAAAGTACAATGTTCGCGCCAAAAATCGCGAATTATAATTGTTTATTTTGTTTCCGAAATGCCATTAATCTAGAATTTATCCTAGCTCTGTTCCCTCCCCACAATCCTGTCCTGTTGCTGCCTAGTCCTGCTCTAGTCCTGTTCGCTTCCTTAGACTCCAAGAGTGATTTTCTTTTAGTTTTTCTCTTATTTTCAAGAAGCATTTTTTTTTCGTTTTGTTAATTATCGCGTCCAAAATAACACGGTGTCTCCTCCCGCATCCTTAATGCGACATATCATACAGGGTTCGGACGGAGCCCCGAAGGTAATTAATAGACTAGGATTCTGTTTTACCTTTGGCCAGAGTTATTGCAGGTTCTAGCTATTAAACGGCTCTTCTCCCTGGGTGTCGAGAAAATCAAGCCACAGCAAGTTAGTATTTTATTTTATTTTGTATTTTTATTTAATTTTATTTTATTTTTATTGCGACCGACCAGCACGTGCACATGCAATAAGCTGTACAGCTCAGCTGCAGTGCTCAGGAGGGAACTCCTCCAGTCCCTGGTATCCATTGTACAAAAAGTCTTGTATAAAGTTAGCTTAGGGTTGACAGTCAAGAAGGATTTTGGTCCTGGAAATCTACGTAGTCACCCAAGTCTTCTGCTAACTTGTCTCTTAAGTCTTGTGAGGAGGATTCCATGTCAATAAATTGTCTAGATATATTCATAAGTATCTGACTTAGATGGAAATTGGTATCTTTTTGTTGTTGATTTATGGTGGAGAAAAAGACTGTTTTTTCAATGTGGACCTATTCTGAGTATATTTCTCTTCATTCAGTCTTGTCCTTTACAAATGGTACTTGTCTTCGATAAGATCAAGGTGTTCTTGGATGTTGGAGGTACGTTGGATAGGATTTGACTAAGACAACAAAACTGCGGTAATGTCCACGTAAGTGGTGATGATATTGGGGCGTGTAGGTAGGTCAGCAGTATAGATTATATAAAAGATGGAAGATAAAGGCATGTATTAATTTGATTTCTGAAAACTGTGACATCATCTCTCTACTCTGAAGCAGCAGTAGACAAAATTTCAGTAGAAAGTAATAAGTAGGTAGGAAGTGCTTAAGTTTATAAAGCTAAACTAGGAACACACCCAAGCAATATTCTTTATTCTCTACACCAAAGGAGATAGTTTCGATTAGTGAGTTTTAGCGATCCTCAGCCTTCATAGTTGTCCTTTGTTAAGTTGTCTGTGTGGGGATTCCACATCAGTCTGCGGTCTGGGTACAGTCTTAAGTATCTGACTTGAACGGAAGTTGGTAGCTCCTAGTAGTTGATGTAAAAGTAAATTGGGTATATTTTTCCTCATTCAGTCTTATCCTCTTTTTGAATTAGTGTTTGATAAACTCAAGATAATCTTGGATGTTAAAGGCTGCTTGGATTGTATAGAAAAGTCAGCAAAACATATGATGCATATCCTGGTTTGATACTGTGTATAAGTCACTTTAATCAGTTAAATAGAATTCCAGGATAATGTAATAAAAAAAAATACAATTTTGACCATACGACATTTTAGTTGAATTAAAAATTAAAAGACAGATTTTTTTTATAGTTTTAAACTAGATGAATTAAGTTGTTTAAAAAAATTGAATGTCTTTTTTACTTTTAAAACTTTTAACTGAATGCTTATTTCAAGATTGTGAGATGAGGTCTGATATGATATAATATTATGGTATGTGTAATAGAAATATTACATATTTGAACTGAATATGTAACAAATGAGTTTAAATAAAATTAGTATTCATTGTAAGTATTTGAAATATTAACTTAAAAAAAAAAAATTGTGATTAAGCTTAAGAGCTAAGATCATACAAATAGAAAATAATCCCTGCATGTCGTTTCTTGTAAGATTATGGTGACTAAAGCAGGAAATGGAGGGTTAAATAGACCGCATTACAGGGAATATGACTTATCTCACTGCCCATATCTTTCCGGCTAATTAAAAGATAGAATCACTTTTAATTGAAAAGGAGTCTGAACTTCTCGAGTTGGTATAATTTAAAAAGTTTCAACCGTACATCCAAGCGGATAATGCTATCAGGATGCAACCCTTTTTGTTGATAAAGAAGACTGACGGGATAAAAACAAAAAGAACAAATATCACTATGAATGTTAGCATTGAAAGCTATTCGGCCTTGATTTCAATAGCAAACAGTCATGGTTTGTCTACCTAATACAAATTAATACTAACTGACTCGCATATTAATATTAGTTGAAGAAAAAAAATTTAAAGCCAATTTTTTTTTTTTTAATTTTTAAGACGTGCTTCCCCGATTTCATCTCTTTGACCTGTGTACCCCAACCATTTACACAAATTGGTCTTAAATGATAGTTGATTAAAATTAGACACAGGTCTTAAGTAGAAGGGCAAAATGGTCAAGAGTTTAAGACCAACTTCTCTATTTAAAAAAAAAAAAAGCTTTTATCAATCCATAGCCTTAGGATAGAGTTAACATTCCATTGTAATGTATTTGTACCTCATAATTATTTCTGACCTTGTGTCAAAAAACAAAGAATGTTCTTTGAGAAAATAATCTCTAATTTATTTTAAAAAAAATTATATATATATAATCATATATATTACCATAATTAGGCATAGTAAAAATAGTTTTTGTCAATCAGTAGAAATTAATTAAACATAAAGGGGATGTCATCTATTGGTGATTTTGTTTCAACAGGTAGTACATTTCCAATAATCACGTTTCGTACAATAATTTGTTTTTATTTATTATTATTCCCATGAGATTTTCCTCCTTTGGTCAGCTGAGTGATAAGCCTGTAATCTGGTCATTTCCGTTCATTTTGGTCTGCCTACCCTCTCTGGGTTTACTTTTGTGCAGGGAATAAAATGCCAAAACACACCAGACGCTGAAACGCATCTGACAGACCAAACCAACGAGGAAAGGTGGATCAAAATGATTGGTAGTGGCCAAAAAAAATTTTATCAGCCAAAATGAAACTATAGATCTGAAGGCAGTTGTAAACGTTTCTATTCTGGTTATTGATTGACACAGTTGGATTTTTTTAAACATTTAATAAAGCCAACATTTCAAATTATCATAATTTACAAGTGTACAATAGTTCAACACATTTTCTTTTCTTTTGTTCTAAATCAGCATGATTGAATACTTTAAAAAATCAAACGTAACATCATAAAGGCAAAAAAAGAGTATTTTTCTATTTTTAGCTTGTGTGCCTTATTGCAATAATATACCATTATTTCTATCCAAGTCTACTACTTTCCTTTCTTAACAGTAAATAAATTGTATTGACAGTTATGATTATTCGGAGATCGTGAGATGCGATCTGGTATGAAGTACATTTTAGAAAAATCTCTCTAAACATCACACATTGACTGTTAAGTTGTACAGTGACAAAATGATTTATTTTTAAATGAAAATGCACGTAATCATATTAGAAAATTTTTTCCACACCTTTTTCACTTAATCAATTTTTGTTTTATTTGCTGGCCAAAGTAATAACTATACTTCTAAAAACAACTTGAATTATATAAAAAAAAATTATTTGCCAGAAGAAGGAAAAACTAACGATAAAAGTTTGCCATGGCTTGGCGTACCATGACTGAAACTGTTTCATCGATATTTGAAGAAGTTAGTAAGAGCTCATAAGTACATATATTATTGAGACAATGGCACCATAATCATCACGGAATGATTGTGTCATTTTGTGATAAAAACTTCATATCAGTGCTTGTTTTGATTAGAAAAGAACCCAGAACAATTCTTCAGAGAGGAGTCGAGTTTTGACGTTTGGGCAAAATAAAAAACGTGTTTACTTTCAGTTAGATGATGACAAAGTTACCAAGCTAGCGTAGAAAGGCTAACTATTGAAAAACTTAAATTTTTAGAACTGAAGAGTACAATATTTCTTAGTCAAGTAGTACAATTAAGTTAACTGAAAAACAATCCTACTGACCTATTATTATTATTTGTTTTAGGATTGTTTAGGACTGATTCATTTTTTGAATTGTACACAATAAACAAATGTTAGAGACCTATTTTAAAATATCTTGTGGTTTCTTCTAATGGTTCTACACTCACCACAAATTTGTAGGAATAGTATGAAATTTTACTTGTCATTTTATTCAATGAGGCTAGCTTTATAAGATTTTAAATAATTTTCTATGATTTGACACCCCCAAAAATTGTATTATGCAATGAATATTTGG